TCAACGAACTTTATTGCAATTTGTTTAAATAGCTAAGCATGCATCAAATGGCTATAAGGATGTCCGGAATAAATTAGAAATTTTTTGCTTTAATTTAAGAAAATGTGGAATTTTAAATGATGATATGAACGTTTTCAAAGTAGAATTCCATTTCAGTAATTTTCACGGCATTGTTTTAAAAGTTTTTGTGACTTCATATTAGTTGAAAACAAAACAGAAAATCCTTTAAGTTTTTCCTAAACACCGGCTTAAAATTTTGAACATTGGTTGAGGTTATACAAGTATTAGTGTAAAATCATATGTAATCAGTGGATTATTCAAGGGGAAAATACACCTCGTAAAACTCAAGAGATCATAAAATGAAAAGCACTTGCTTCATTATTGTACATAAACACATGATATGCATACATAGATTAATACTAATTATATAGAAAATTACTTACCATAAGAGAGATTTTGAAGCTGGATTAATGCAACTGAGGTGGTAGTAATCCTACCTTAACGTAGAGGTTTCACATCATCATGATCGACTTATGCAAAATAAAACCCTTCTTATTCTCACAAAAACATAATTAACATACTAAGAATTTACACTACTTGTTTCCAACCAACATGCAGAAATACTGACTGTTCATAATTAAATTGATCATCATCAACTTAAATCCAAATTTAAAAAAAAAAAAAAAAAAAAGCTAATTACCACTAGCTACCACGTACTTACTGTCAAAATTAAAGAAACAAAACCTGAAATCACTGCTTCCGTCTTCATGCACTCTGCTTCTTTCTATATACGGCTAGAAGGGAGGACGACCGGTTGCCCAATAAGCCTCAGCCGGTAACTGCATAGAATTCATCAGATTAGGCTGCAACCCATGAAACAGACCCGCGTTTTGCTCCGATAATACCTGCTGCTGCTGACCCGACCCGCTTCCCGGTGACCCTATTGGACCCCCTTGCATTGCAGGATTCTGCATCTCTTCCTCTTCCAATGGAAGCCTCTCATACGCCGCGTTACTAAAAGATGCCGCCATCACCACCACTGGACCAGAACACGTAAGCGTGCCAACCACGCTGCCGCCCACCACCTGTCCTTGCCCTCCTGCTAGGTAGATGGTAAGCCCCGAGGCAGCAGGCGGCGCAGGCGGTGGCAAAAAGGATCCTGATAGAGATAATATCTCGAAGCGACCGTGTAAGCTGACGACTGCGCCGGGAGATGCGGGTTGCCTGAGGGTTACGTTTGTGACTGTGCCGGTTCCGCTCATTATACAGACTCCTCTTTGGCGGCGCCTGGCGAAGGTAGCGACGCTTTCGACGATGTCGCAGCCGTCTCCTATCTCCATGACGTGGGTGCGGAGGGCGTTGGCGCTGTCGCGGGTGATGATGATGGGGGGTTTGGGTTTGTTTTTAGATCCAGGGGGTCTGCCTCTGGCTCTTCTTGTAATTTCACCTTCGCTGTTGGCTGCTGCTGCAACGAGCTCTTTGCCGTTGCCGTTGGTGAGTTCTTCAAGATCTCTCTTGGGAGCTTTGTTGAGGCCACCACTGCTGCCGCTTTGTTCATCCTCGGAATTATGAGCTTGCTGTTGGTGGTGGAGGAGGAATTGATGATGCTGCTGTTGTTGTTGGAGCTGGAGTTGGAAATCTCTTGTGTGGAAAGGTGGAGGAAGGGAGTGAGCATGAGATGTTACAGGATCCATATTTAATATAATGATCTCAAACAAATCCTTGTAACTTAATTCCTCACATAGACATAGATGAATGATTAATTAGAGATTCAGAAGAGAGAGAGAGAGAGAGGGGGGAAAGGAAAGTAAGACCCACAGAGATGAGTAAAGGTTTGGCATAGTGCTAAATATTGTAAAAATTAAGAAAAGATATATGGAGAAGGGGATGAGAGAGGGAAAGAAAAGAAAGAGCTGAAAATCTAGTATTAGTTATTGATTGATTAAATAAAAGAAGAAGAGGGTTTGCTTTTGGAATTGTTAATTAGTAATTAATTAATTAATTAATTAGTACTGGTAGAAAAGCAAATTAAGAGAGATGAGTAAGTGGGTTTTTGATGTCATCAGCCACCAAACTCAAGCTAGCTCTTAAAGAAGTGAAGTTTGATTGGAGAAGAGGGTTTTTGTAACAAGAGAGTTGGGTTAGGGTTAGAGTTGGAGTTTGGAGAAGAGAGGTAGATCGGTAAGACTGGGTCTGCCTTGGTGTATGGGCGGTGGATGGGTCCCCACCTCCACGCTCTCTCTACCTCGCTTCCTCGCTATTCATCTATACATATATATACAACACGTTAGATATATAATTATTATTTTATATAACCTTCCATTCACATACTCATAAATATATACCCTATTTATCTCCAGATTTCAACTCTTTTTTTTTTTTTTCCTTCTTCCTTTTCAATTAGATTAATTAACGCAGAGCCTTTTATCTTCTTCTTCTTTTTTTTTTTTTTTTGAAATCATTTTTTTTTCTTGTTATAGGCGTAAGAAGCAGGTATAGC